TTAATTAGCTGTACTTTTCTCCTTATGCTTCCATTACTTGGAAGGTTGTGAAGACAGTGCTATAAACAAATAGGCCTGTCATCATTTACTCACAACCCAGACCATAATGATATAAATTCAATAGATTTTTATACGTCAGTACATTTTATTTGGCAAGGATGCGTTAAATTGATCAAAAGTGACAGTATTGACATTCATGACAGTTTATGTTTCAAATAAATACTGTTCTTCTGAACATTTCAAAGAATCCTGAAGAAAAAATGCATCACAGTTTCCACAAAAATATTAAGCAGCCCAACTGTTTTCAGCATTAATAAAAATAAATGTTTCTTGAGCACCAAATCAGCATATTAGAAGGATTTCTGAAGAATCATATGACAATGACTGCAGTAATGACTGCTAAAAATTCAGCTTTGCTATAATGGGAATCATTTTAATATGTTAAAATATATTCAAATAGAAAACAGTTCTTTTAAATTGCAAACATATTTCACAGTATTACTGTATTTTACTGTATTTACGATCAAATAAAGAGACTTGTTCAAAAACAATTACAACTTTTGACTATTAGTGTATTTAAAAAAATATAATAATTATTGTGGATTTATTGAATGAGACATCAGAAGATGGTGATGACTGCATGCTTTCATTGTTTATTGACTGTCATCAAACTGTGTATTGAATTTCCTTCCAAGTCTCTCTATACGAAAAGCCACAAACACTATTTTTAGTACATGAGGTGATGTGTAAACCAAAGCAGTGAGCGTGTGAAATGTTTCTGTATATGTTGGGAACAGGAACCTGTCACAAACAGACTAGTCGAGAAGTTTATGCATGAGATGTGGTGTGGCTGTGCTCTGTGACTTCAGATGCATGTTGGCTTGACAAGGAATGGTGGATAAGAAAGGGATAGCCTATACGAAAAGAGGAAGTGAATGACAGAATAAGGATGTACAAGTGAAAAACAAAAGGGGGACATCTAGGTTAAAAGGCATGCATGGCTGCCCTCCAAAAAGCCAATAGTGCCAGCTTGCCCAATTTCACCCCAGCTCATGATTCAGAACTATGCTGTCAGCCTACTCTGGCATGATCTATTTTTATTCTCAATGTGTCATCCCTACTCCTTTCCTCAGATGAAGAAAACACAACCATCCAACTATCTGTCGCCACAGGGCAAGCGCTGTGTTCTATGTTTGCCTCTTAAGCTCAAAACTCTGCGGAGATTCACGGCAGACATGTATCTAAAAGAGGCAGTCGGGCGGAACTGATATGACTGTGTCTTTTAGATTTAACACAAAGATTGTGACATGCATATTTCACCGAAATTAGTCAGAACCATGACATTTTTTTCTGTGGTGATGATACAGAAAGAAATGGAAAAATGTTTTTTTATTTTTTGTTATGAATACAATTATTGAGAGCTCAGATCATGTGGTTTATTTTTTTATTTTTCTTATTATTTATATTATTAATATTTTTTTTATAATATTAGAAATATGAATATTATTATTAATATAATTAATACGATTGATAACTCAAATTATTATTATTTTTATTATTAAAATTATCAATATTATTGAGAGCTAAAATCAAAGGGTTATTTTATTGTTTTTATTATTAAAATTATGAATGTTAACGAAAGCTCAAATCATATGGCTTAATTTATTATTTTTATTATTAAAATTATTATTATTATTGAGAGCTTAAATCATATGATTTTTGCTTTTTATTATTAAAATCATCAATATTATTGAGTGCTCAATTCAAATGGCTAATTGTATTTTTTTTTATTATTAAAATTATTTATATTGTTGAGAGCTCAACTCATATGGCTTATTTTATTATTTTTCCTTATTACAGATTATTAATATTTTTGAGAGCATATGGCTTATTTTATTGTTGTTGTTGCTGCTGCTGTTTTTTTTTTTTTTTTAAATCATATCATTTTAGCTCAAATGATGTGGCTTATTGAAGAAAGCAATCAGGCATCTGAAGAATCCCAGACTTACCTTCAAAAAAGGAGATCAGAGGGGACATGTCTTCAGATCAGAATGTCATAGACTTAGAAGTGGGTCTTTAAACTCAGGCCATTCAGTAACACACTAGAAACTTCCTAGCCACTCCCTAACAACCAGCCAGAACACCCTAGCAACCATATAGAAATGTGCACCAGCCATATCTTTGCACCACAATATCACAGACACACTGAGGTGGGCTCTTTTAACATGGGCCAATGAACCGTGGGCCCTGGGTGTACTGTTGAGAGGCACATGATAACATTTTGGCAGCGAGTTTCACTAATATTATTTCACCGCTTATTATTATTATTATTACTTAATTTTTATTATGTATCTAATCATTCATAACCATTTTGCTTTGGTGATGCTGATAAAATATATTTTTGTAGGTATTTAGTTTTGAGTAGAGCACACAGGTCGAGCAGCATCATAACGTGTTGTTGTGGAGCTCGGCTGTGTGCTTCAGACGGGCTGAGGTCGCGTGTGCTGCAGTCAGAGGCTCTGGTGAGTCTGAAAGTGCGCAGTGAGGCATCTCCTGCTCCGTAATCGCCGTTTATTCCCCTATTCCCACGGAGGGAATTGAGCGCTGGCACAGTCCCCCCTACAGTACAAACACGGAACTTCTACTCACTCACCATCAGTAACTCTCCGCCAAACACTAGCACACCACATCTATTATTACCAAACGAGAAGTCTCCATACTGTCGGTGTGTAATGGCGCACGTAGCTTGCTTTAGACTTTGCAAGCAGCATATGGTAAGACAGTTTAATAGAAAGAGAAAGAGAGTGAGAGTCGAAAAGAGAGCCAGCAGTGGAGTTATTTTTCATGGTTTTATGTTGTATATTGCAAGTATTATTTTAGGAAGACTGCTGGCGGCTTTGTTGTTATTTATTGATTTTTCATTGATTTTTCTTAAATATTTTAATTTATTCACTGGTGATTTTGCATGTAGGAACGTGCAAATCAAGTATTTTGCCATTTAAAGAGGGCGAGATAAAATGAAAGTTTGCCTTTTATTCTCATTGTTCAAACGAGACATCACTGAACCGGACAAAACACGAGCTCTACCTTTTCTTTCTTTCCATGTGGTGCTGAACGCTGCACTGGCTCTGCATCACAAGTGTTTTGCTATGTGACAGGTTCTGTAATAATATTTAAAGTGGACTATCTGTCACATATGTTATATCACATAAAATGCTCCAAACACATCAAAATAACCGAATGCAAGAGCAATACAGGCAACGTGTTGTATGGTAACCAACACGAAAAAAAAAAGAGACAGAGACAAAAGTTGTGAAAAACAACTGTATTATGTCGCGAAAATCTTAACTTGAGGAAACCTTTCCTCCAGGTTAATATTGGAAACAGTTTTGCGAGTATTAGGGCATGTTTGTCCATTTATGTAGTGTAGGGGAAGGAAAGGAGACACGAGACAGGAAGGTATAGGCTATTCCCATTCCACAAGGGAGATCCGAGCAGCAACTATTGCGCACGAAGTATAACCAATGCAAAAAACAGACACCACATGCTTAGCTAAAATTGTCAAATGTTTTTGTTCTGAGATCATGTTCTTATGTCAAAACTGTTTTGTCCACTGGGACGCTGGACTGGTCAACACCGCAGTTTGGTACCTTGGAGAGCGAAAGCTGTCTGACGAGAACGACAAGCACAGATATATGCATATATGAGTACAGAAATCCTCTACAAACTGAATTATACAGATTTGTCGTGCCATTATCTGATGTAACACTTATAAAGAGTAGACAAAAGATGCAACAGAGTTGATGAGAATGACCCCAGTCTCCACCAGTGCGTGCGTAGAACGAGATATCACTCAATTATTGTTGACAAGACATAATTGATACGAGACTATGGTTAAATGAATGAGTATATTATGATGTGTAAGCAAACGCATTTCATTTAATTACCATGTCGAGTGGGGCTGAAATTGGGAAAATGTAGGGCCTCTAATCACATTCTAGATATATCATAATGAGGGTTTACCTCCAAAAAGTTGGCATGTCCCATCTGTTTGTCTGCACATAAAAAGCCTTCGACTATTCCTCCAACTTGTTCAGAATAAGTTCGGTGTATTCATTCTTTCAACAGGCAATATCTGCTTGAACAATGACACAGAAGAAGGTCTGTTTGCTCCAGTGGAAGAGAGGTGCCCGAAAAAAGCAACAAGCATCCATAAATTCACAGCGGATCCTGTTAATGTGTGTCTGTTCTGTCACTTCTCATAATGTTGCTCTGTTTCCCAAATGTTTATTGTTTAATCCAGCCCGCAAGTTGTAATGGTTGTCCAGTTTTCCGGATAAAAAGTCCTGAAGTGGTGTGTGAAGGCTCCAGGGAGGTGCGCGGTGAGTGTAGCCCAGGCTCGGGTCGGGTGGTCTCTCGGTGCGTGTCGAGGTAGTATGAGTCTTCCTCTCCTCGCCCGCTCTGCCCACACAAACTGGATCCAGTGTTTGAAGGCAGGCAGTTGGGCACTAAAGCATATATCCTGCAGCCCCCCCTTGTGGAGCAACAGCATTGCGTGGGTCACACCGGAATGAAGGAGACACAACGATGAGAAAGTGAAAATGAAGCGCACAGAGCGAGAGAGAGAGAGAGAGAGAACGCGC